ATAATTTCCATTGTTCTTAATTGGTGCAAGCTAAATCAATGAATAATTTGCTGGACTAACTGGGTGTTGAGAAATATTCAATCACATCAAGTGGAGGAAGTATGTCAACTCTTAGCTTTGCTTGTGTTATACAAAAATATTGTGTATATATTTAGATTTAAGAAGCTTAAAAAACTGTTGCAAATCTAAAACAGAAAGCCTACTGTTTAAACAAATTAATGCACTCACATGGATACAGAATAGCAGCAACAATCAGAACCACAAAACTAGAATAAATCCGAGCCATGTATCCACAATCTCCTTAAGATAAATTTGCTCCCTCTTGGTGCTCAAGGTTTATGAGCAATTGTCTCCCAAGATAGAATGGATTTACGTTCTTGGAGAAGCAACACTTCAATCTCCAAGATTCTAGCGAACACAACTTTGTGGCTTGTACTTAAACCGACGAAGAAGAACAACGATGCAACAATATGTATACAGAGGGAGAGAAGTATGAAGGTTAGAAGAATTGTTCTTGAATTTTAGTGTTTCCGTATTTTTCGTATTTTCAAATGGCAGTAGGGGTCGCCCTTTTATAGACTCTAGGTGCCTGTTCAATTAAATTGAACAGGCAAAGGAAGGCAAAGGACGCCATTGTTTGTCACACCTGTTCAGAGACACACTCTGGACGACGACAATTATGTATGGCGCGTATTTTAAAAATTAATTTAAAAGACGGTTGTGTCAGGTACTCGAAGGTGAAGGCAACAGACTGCGAGGCAAGGCAAGGCGAGACAAAGTGAGGCGACCAAGAGAGGTGGTGCCCCAAGCCAAGGTGTCAAGACCTTGGGCCCCACTTGCCAAGGCACCAAGCAAGGCACAAAGCAGGGCACCAAGCAAGGTTACCAAAAGCCTTGGGCGTCGCCTAAGCATTGGGCTTCGCCTCTAATACTGTTTCGTCAACTACTCCGATCTGAACCATTTTTGACCCAACTCCAAATCCAAAAATTCAGTCTAATTAAAATTGATAATTTTTAAGACATAATTTCTCACAAATATTAATGATTCAGAACAAATAATTGAAAATCATGTTCCCACTAATTTCAATGGGAGAGTCCTATTTTAATTTAGTTTTCATATCCATTTTTCCAACAATCCCCTACATGAATAAAAATTCAATGTATGATAATGCAGACACTGATTCAAGTATAAGTGAAAGGTTACTGCATCTGGATAAGTAGCCAGTGGCCTTGAACTTTCTGTAGTGACAAACTATCGGATTTACTTGGCTATCCAATGGACATGATGTCTTTGCATTGTCAATCATTTGTGTCAAACAAGGCAATAGAATTCACACAGTTTTCCTTCGGACACAGTTGCTTCTCATGTTTGTGTTCATTTTGGCCTTGAACACCACTTGTTTTCATGAGTAATATTATTGTAATTAACCTACGATTCTCATAGAAATAGCCCCTTCTTTACTCATAGAAGTGATATCTGATTAAGAGTATCCTGCTATACTCTACTTGACTATTTTCAAGTCACAAAATTTCATTAAAAATGTAACCTAATCTGGTTCTCGCTGTAGATGTGCACTGTCTCATCATAGGAATGAGGAGGAGTTTAGAAAATCTTCTCAGTGCGTACTGAGTTACACATAATTCAGTTGTCCCTTTGAACATCGACCTTGGGATCTTTAGTCAGCTGAGTTGCATTGCCATTATGGTGACTCTTGATTAAGCAAATAGGCTTTAAGCCCATTCCCCTCAATGAACTTTCCACTTGCACTCTAGTCAAACCTTTTGTAAGCAGATCTGCAATATTATCCTTTAACTTCACATAGTCAATGGATATAATATCATTAGAGAGCAATTGTTTAACGGTATTTTGTCTATGACATATGTGTCTAGACTTACCGTTATACATACAATTTTGTGTCCTTGCAATCATAGATTGGCTATCACAGTGAATGCATATTGTAGGCACATACTTTGGCCAATTTGAAATATCCTCTAAGAAATTTTGAAGCCATTCTGCTTCTTCTCCAACGTTATCTAAGGCAATGAACTCAGATTCCATTGTAGATCTTGCAATACAAGTTTGTATTAAGGATTTCCAAGACACGGCAGCACTACCCAAGGTAAAGGCATATCCACTTGTGAATTTTGAATCTTTAGTATCGGATATCCAATTAGCATTAGTATATCCCTTGAGTACTGTTGGGTACTTCGTGTGGTGCAAACTATAGTTTTGAGTATGTCTTAAATATCCCAAAACTCTAATAATTGGTTTTCAGTGGTCTTTTTCGGGATTACTTGTATATCGACTTAGCTTACTCACTGAATATGCTATATCTAGACGGGTACAATTCATTATGTACATTAAACTATCAATTATACGTGCATATTCTAACTGTGATATGCTATTACCCTTATTCTTTGAAAGATGGATATTAACATCGACATGTGTTCTTATAGGTTTTATCTCATACTTTTTGAACTTATCAAGTACTTTATCAATATAATGAGATTGAGATAACACAAGTCCATCTGATGTTCTAGAAATTTTAATTCCTAGTATAATGTCAACAACACCTAAGCCTTTCATTTCAAACTTATTTGTCAACATCCGTTTGGTAGCTCTAATGACATCGTTATTGTTGCCTATAGCATAAAGATATACAATAACGTATCCACTGTGAGTGTTCTTGACATATACACATTTGTCACAGTCATTTATTTTGAACCCATTTGACAACATTGTTTTGTCAAATTTTTCATGCCACTACTTCGGTGCTTGTTTTAAACCATACAGAGATTTAACAAACTTGAATACTTTCTTTTCTTTCCGATTAGCAATGAACCTCTCAGGTTGTTCCATGTATATTTTTTAATCTAATTCATCATTTAAGAATGATGTCTTTACATCCATTTTATGTATTTCAAGACCATTCAATTTAGCTATAGCAATTAACATCCATATGGAAGTAATTCTAGTAACTAGTGAATAAGTGTCAAAACAATCCAATTCTTCCCTTGCTTTATATCATTTGGCTACAAGTCTAGCTTTATACTTGTCAATGGATCCATGGTTTTCATCTTCTTTTTAAAGATCCATTTACAGCCTAAAGGTTTGTTACCTGGTGGAAGATTTACCCACTCCCATGTATGATTTATCATAATGGATTCGATTTTAGAATCGACAGCTTCCTTCCAATAAGGAGCTTCGAGGGAGGACATAGCTTCTTGAAATTTTAAGGATCATTTTATAATAGATAAGTTACAAAATCAGGACTAAATGACTTCAAATTCTTTGTCCTCTTGCTACGTTTAGGTTCATTTTCAATGAACTTCTCATTTTGACCATTATTAGTGGTAGAATCAATTGGTCTCTTTAATGAGCTTGATTGATGTGACAAAATGGAAAATTATTTTCAAAGAATGACACATTACTTAACTCTATAATTATATTAATATGCACATCAGGAATTTTAGATTTGTGAAGAAATTGATATGCACTACTGTCACTACAACAAAAATCGTTTTTGAGACGATTTTTTTCATTGCAAAATTCAAAAAAATCATTGCAAATTATTTTTTGCGACGTGTCAATCTTACCATTAAATAACTTATTTCGTCGCCAGTTGTGATCTTGCGGCAAGTAACGCCGATGGCCTGTGTAGCCAATTTTGCTTCTTAATGGCTGTGATAATGCATCAAAATTACAAATGGGGCATGCCTTGTAACCTTTTGTAGTCCATCCAGATAGGTTACCATAAGCAGGAAAATCATTTATCGTCCACATAATAGCTGCATGCATTTGAAATGTATGTTTGCTACATGCATCAAAAGTTACAACATCTTCCCACAATTCTTTCAACTCATCAATTAACAGGCGCAAGTATACGTTAATCTCCTTCCCGGGTGCCTGTGGTCCTGGAATAAGCAATGACATCATGAAGAATGGATCGCTCATACATTTCCAGGAAGGCAAATTGTAAGGCATCAAGATCACAGGCCACATACTGTAAGAGTTGCTCATGTTGCCAAAAAGGTTAAAACAATCGGTGGCCAATCCAAGCCTAACATTATGAGTGTCCCAAGCGAAATCAGGATATTGCTTATCAAAGTCTTTCCATTCTTCAGAATCACCAGGATGCCGTGAAAAATTCTCGTCGTCCACTCGCTTCTCTTGGTGCTACCCCATATATATAGCCGTTTTTCTCGACATAAACAATCTCTGTAACCTCGGTTTCAAGGGAAAGTATCGCAAAATCTTATGAGGTAACTTCTTACCCTTACCATCATTGAGCTGATATCTTGACTCCCCACATACTGTACACTTATCCAATTTTTTATTCTCCTTCCAAAATAGCATAAAATCGTACCTATATGCATAAATGGACTCGTATCCCAATCCCAAAGCACGTAAGAATTTCTTAACATCATAGAGAGATGTTGGAAGAATATGACCTTCAGGTAAAAGGTCTGTCAATAGCTCTAACATCAATGTTAATGACTTATTGCTCCACTTGTTCAATACCTTCAAATGAAGCAACTTAACCAAGAACGACAAACTTCTTTGGCATTTAGACTTCTCTTATCAGGAACTTTTGGGGTCTAATTAATATTCAAATTTCAAGACTAATTTTTAATGGAAGATAATTTCTTTTTCTATCGTGTAACTGTTAAGTTCAAAGCTTTTAATTGCTCCATAAGCATTTATGGAGTCTTTTTGTACTATTCTTTGGTGCCCTTCCTTTTAACAGTCCGCTCTAAGTTGTGTCCAAAGCATCTCTCTCTATGATGATATAATCAACTTCAAGTGTAAGCTAAGCTTTGTTAGCTTTATAGTTGTCTCTTTTATCTTTATAATTCTTTGGATATATTTTTCTATCTTGAATTTCATCGATCCTTCTTTGGAATACCTGATGTGCATTCTTTAATCCAAAACACATAACTATGACATTCGTATTGTCCTTGTGGAGTGCTAAAGGTTTTATTATAATACAGTACACTGTCATGCAAGGTCCTGGAAGCTCTATTGTTATTATTTGTAGAGTTGATTGCAGGGGAGATGCAGGTTGGTTTCTTTGTTGTTGCTATGGAGGAGAAAACTATCGTGGCCAATTAATTGGGTCTTGACCCTTAGAAAACTATGCTGCAGGATTCTCTTCCAACTGATTTATTGCTGCGGTTTCCTCAGTTGTCTTCGGCAGTCTTTGGGAATTGCAGTTGCATCATCAGCTGGACTATCAGGAAGCTTTCTCTTTATTTGGCCCGTAAACACAATGCAGCAATTTTTGGTCTGAAGTGCACTGTTCATGTGACTGTTCATGTGTATTTTCAGCTGCTGTTGCAATTTGATTCCTTCATCAGCTGGACCCCTTCGGCAGTTATGATTTTTCATTTGTTTTTCAAATTCAGCAGCTCTTAGTTGGATTTTCTCAACTGGAGCTTCCTATTTCAACTAGACTCTTTCTACAACTAGACTCTTACTTTAGTTGGACTTTTGTTTCAGCTGTACTTTATATTTACAAATCAATTTGGTAAAAACCAGCTTCATGGTGAGGTAATAGAGCACTACTCATAGTTGTTTGACTTAATTTTGCTTTTACTATAGGACCCTCACTTACTGCAACGTGGTTTTGGAGATATTTTTTGCATATCCACTCATTATGCTGAATCACCTTTGAGCTATAAACATGCTAAGGTTTCGCCTCAATTAGAGTATTTGCATATATTGTTTGCATATGGACTTAAAATATCTTTCTTTGGTAGACTTCAGTTCATTTTCCCCTGTTGGCTAAACAGTCTCGTGTGCAAGTTTTACATGTGTCCTACTAGAATATTTGATTGCTAGGCAGTGATACATTGCTAGGCAGTATTTGCATATATTGATGCATATGGACTTAAAACACTTGTTTCTCTTGACCTGGGAAACAACTTTTTTTGGGTAAGCTATTGTGAATTAATTAACCCAATGCTGGAAATCCATGGAGCAATTTAGAAATAAGTGATTTCTAGAGTATTTGATTGCTAGGCAGTGATACATTTTTTTCCTTTCTCTTCTTAATGAATTAAATATTTCGTGTGACACTCTTACCATGTTGCTTGTGTTCTGTAAAATTCATTTATCCCAATTGTTGCACAAACAGGAAGCCTTTCTGTTAAACTAAATGGAAGCTGCACTTTTTTCACCCCAACTCTTTCTTGGCCCATATTTTTGTATATTCATTCTTATATTATATTCTTTTTACCACCATTATCTTGACATATTTGATTTCCTTCTGAGCAGAAAAAACTTATATGTTGCGTGTTTCTTTGAACTTGGTTCGATATCAGTTGCCAATGGTGGTTATAGTGTTTAACAATAGTGGTGTATATGGTGGTGACTGGAGGAACCCTGAAGAAATTATAGGACCTTACAAGGATGATCCTGCACCGACTTCTTTTGTCCCTAGTGCTGGATATCATCTTCTAATTGAAGCTTTTGGGGGAATGGGTTATCTTGTTGAGACACCTGATGAACTCAAATCGGCATTTTCTGAAGCTTTTTCTACACGGAAGACTGTTGTCATAAACATTACAATTGATCCATATGCTGGTGCAAAAAGTGGGAGGATGCAGCATAAAAACTGAGGCAAGCTGTAGCAACTTTAATTTTTGGTTGCTTATGCTTCTTTGTTTGAGTGTGTACTCTATTTGGTTTTTCTGGATGTTGTCTTTTGTGATGCCTTCTGATTGGGTGAATCTAAACCTCTATTATCATGTGTAATTTATAAAGCTAGAGTCATGGTTGTTGCTAGCATGTAAACAAGACACACACTCATAACCAATACCTTCTGTTTTTCAACTTTTGCTTATGTTAGCAGTTTGGTTGGTGAATGGAAATTGAAAGTTCTGCATCAAAATGGAGATTGAGGCGTTTGTCATTTTTTTTTTGTGGCAGAGTTAGTTGTTAATAACCTTCCTGTGCACCTTAACATCTACAATTACATGTTTTTTAGTTTATAATCTAAAATTACACATTGAGATTGCTTCAGTAGCCCCCTAAATAAGTGCGTGCATAACTAGCGATGAGTATGTTGATCAGTATTATTCCTCTCTCTTTCTCTCTCTCTCTCTGTCTCACTCCCCCCCCCCCAAAAAAAACACACACACACACACCCCGAATGTACAAAAGAATCTTTGATCTTTATTTCTGTAAATTGATTTGAAGTAAGCTTCTTAATTGGCTGAGTTTATGAGCTATGGTATGTGGGATTGAGTACTTTTGCTAAGTGTCAGTGTGTTTCTAGGTTTCAGTACATTTGTTACTAATTATAGAGAGCTTCTTTAAATCATCCAGTGAGATGAGATATGGTGATATTTTGTTAAATGTTTTTGTGCTGAGTTTCCATTTGTTTATTTTATCATTTTGCAGCCTATCCCAAATCAGAAAATCCACTGGAGATCTATGGAAGGTCTCCCTAACAGGTAAAAAATTATTTGATAAATACACATAACATGAATAAACAAGGACAAACTGGTTGTGTTAACTGCTTAACTTTGTTAGGATTAGCTATTGTATCAGATAGGCTTTTTTTAGGTGTAACTCCCTCAGCCTTTTAATTGGTTGTAGCAACTGGAACAGTCACTGTTCACGTGACTGTTCAGCTGCTGCAACAGTCCGGTTCAGCTCACCATTGGAACTTCCTACCTGCTGCTTTCATCTTTTTCAGTGTAGTTAGGCAAGCAAGTATTTTTTGGTGCAATCCATGAAACATTAGGTTTTAAAATAGAGACATAACTTATTATTTTAGGGCCTTGAATGATAGCTATTACTGTCGAACAAAGGTCATGTATATTTTAATTCCATTACTAAATGTAATTGATTCATTCAAACAAATAAGCAACTTATTTAGCACAAGTACATAACTTGTCAGAAAAAAGAAAGCTAGTACAAGCATCCATGGTGATGATGGCAGAGCACCGTAATGTTGAATTTGAATAACTGTAATCTATTGAGGAGCCGTAGTCACACAATATTTACACTGGTATGTGAGTAAACTTTATGTTCTGATTTTTATCATTCATGATTAATACTAGTGCTTGAGCAGGAGTTATTTGAGTAGGTTTATTTGGCTTTGCCTATTTGGAGGATTAAAGCCAGCTTTGTTGGGTGGATAATACTTCTGAGATGGTGTATTTGAATGCATTGGTGTATTCTGCCTGCACTGGTTTGCAGGCTATATTCTGGTTAAGCAGAAAGAAGTGGATGGATGTAGGATCAGATTTGCTGAGATAATTTGTGAGCTGAGCTGTGCTGTTGCAATTCCTGGATTCCAGGTTAGGGGTTGTTTTGGTTGTTGAACAGCTGGTTTTTGCTGTGTTGCTGAGCTGTTGAGTTGAGAGCTGCAATGGACAGCCATAATAGGAGCTATGCTACAAGTGGATCTGTTCCTCCTGCTTTAGGTCCTTTACAGGCTGTCTGATGATGCAGTGATCAGAGTTGCTGAGCTAATGGTAGGGGTTAGATTGTGCAGAATTAAGCTGCAAATTGTGTTTGTTACTTGCTTCTGTAGATGAGCTGTGTTGTAGACAAAAACCATTTTTTCTATTTTTAGAATTTCTTGTAATTTGATTATTGTAATTCATTCATTTTTGAAATAAAATTTTGTTTTTTTAAAAAAAAGATGTGCAATGTATTAATGTGTTGATTTTTTATTGAACACAGGTATTATTGGTGTACAGGTGAAAATTTTTATTGGAATATCATTTTTGATGTAAAATAAAAAAAATGAATTTTTTTTTGACGAAATAAAAATTGTCACAAAAAATTGCAAGAACAAGCTTTTTTGCGAAGATAATTTTACGTCGCGAAAAGCTAATTAAATTATTATTTTTAACATTTTTTATTTATGAAAAAATTATTCACGACAATTTTTTTACGTCGCTAAAAGTTAATTAAATTATTATTTTTTTGATTTATGAAAAAAATTATTCGCGATGATTTGTTTACGTCGCAAAAAATGAATTAAATTATTATTGTTAACATTTTTTATTTATGTAAAAAATTATTCACGACGGTATTGTTTACGTCGTGAAAAGTTAATTAAATTATTATTTTTTACATTTTTTATTTATGTAAAAAATTATTTGCAACAATTTTTTTACGTCGCAAAACGCTAATTAAATTATTATTTTTTACTTTCTTGTGCTCTGGGAATGGATTTTAACTACGTTTTTTTTACTTTTCGCGACGTTTTTTTTGGTCACGAATAATTTTTTTTTGCGACGAAAAAAAAAATTTGTAATAAAATACTTTCTGCGACGAGGATATTGAAAACAATTTTTGTTGTAGTGAGGATACAAAACAAGTTAAGCATCCTTCAGTAATTTTTCAAAATTTTGAACTTTCTCACTATCAACACCCTCACATGTTTCTCCAACACAAACACCCCCTAAATCATTTTCCATGAACATTCCCCTACCAAAATCTTCCAACATTTCAGGTATTTCGTCTCGATCATCATCTTCACTATTGTTCATATCATCCCCGACAGTGTCAGCATCATCATTATCAACATCATATTCAAAGAATCAGGTGACATTCACAGGAACGAGTTCCCCATGGTGTACCCACGTCGTGTAAGAGGTCATGATTCCTTTTCACGTACAAATGATTTTTCACAGTCTCATCATCATGTCATTCTGCATTCATGCAATTCCTACATGGACATCGAATTTTCCATCTCGACTTAAACGTTCATGGCAAAATTGACAAAATATTTGACCCCATCAATGTATTTTGAATCCAACCTATGCCTAATTGCCATTCAACTCTTGTCCATAATTGATAGCCTACAAAATCACATATTTATCAATATCATGTACCAAACATCATGCAAACTATGTCGTCGCATCCTTCCTATTTTGGTAGGTGTTCTTATACCATTCAGGAATGTACATTCTATATCATATGAAGCATCTCTTACTGCTTCGTACATCTCTAACTGAAATCCGACAGCATCTCCCCATAGTTCTCCAAGTACACGACATAGACTAGGTGTCGTTGCTACACCAGTCTAGTATGTACACAGAGAACAATGGGATTTGCCACACAGAATATCCAAGAGATGTAACAAGTTAAGTAGTGAGATACTAACTACAATATAGACTTGTGCGTTCCCAAACTATCCGACATTGGACAATTCAAGAAATCTCCATCGGCAAAGAATACTCTATGTCCGATGTGGATTCTTGAACGGATACTAAGGTTTCATGCAGGCATGCATAGAATTGAAACCTTAATTTATATTAAGGTTTCAATAAATTACCGAAATTCATAACTCACCAATTCCAAGAAATAAGACGAAGCATAAAAAAACTACACATATGATAATACTACTGAAATAAGTCATGAAATATAAAATCAAGGTTATCAAAATCAAATTAATCTGAGAATAGAAAACAGAGCAAAAATTTCACTCTTCAGTTACATATTATATATAGGGTTGGGGATGTAGCTTGGAAGAAAATGTAAACCCAGTCTTTGATATCTAGATTTTAAATTACCATGTCCTTGGCATATAGGGCTTCTATTATGGTTCAACAGTCAATATTCTTGCTATATATTTCAACAAGATGAATTTTGTAGCAGAAATACAACCTTGAAAATATTGAAAGCATATTGCTGCTATGCGATAATTTATGTTCAATCTGCCTTCAATAATTTATGTTCCAAAATCCAAACTGGGCATTTTTTTAACTTTATACTCCAACTTGAAGGGGAGTGTTAGAATTTTTATTTTTGGTATTGGTCATGTTTAATGAGTATAAGATAATATTGTAATTACCCTAATTTCTCTACTATAAATAAGAGGTGTAGGGCAATACAGTCGTACACTCATTATTTCTCCCAATCTCTTTTCTCTCTCTTCTTCTCTTCTACTCTAAACTATAATCTTGATTTTACATTTTAACTAAACCCTAAATCATGTAAAACCAAACTTAGAAAGCAAAACAAATCAATAGAAATAATGAGTCACATATCGTAGGTAACCTTAATCAAACCCACGGTGATTTGGGAACTACACAAGAACTCAACATCACAACAATCAAAACTATCCTGAGGAAAAATAGATGCACAAAAATCACAAACCTTGTTGTAAATACCAGGCAACAAAAAATATGGGTGAATACCAGCCCATATATTCATCAGTGAAACCAATATCCAGCAAAACTGAGGAACCCCTTAAGCAAAAAATAGACAAAATCACTAGCTCCCATTGAATCAAACATGAATCTATCAAATTGTAACAAATCTTTCGCTTTGAAACATCCCATCATATAATAAATATAAACCAAAACTAAGGAACGCTAAACAAAAAAAAAAACCATCAACAAAATCAGTAGTTTCCATCTAGAAAAAAATATAAATTTCACAAATTCCTAGACCAAATAGTTGACTCGAAAGATCCTACTGTACCATCAGCTAATATCTAAAACTTTAACATAAGAAGAAAAACAATATTTCATTAAACAAGCCACAACACAAACCCTAAACATCCACAATTAAACCCTAGATCAAGTAAAATCAAATTCAGAAAGCAAAACAAATCAATAGAAATAACCAGCCACATATCATGACTAACCTC